GAACAGTACACTACTTTTGGAGAGCTGTATCACTATAAAATTCTGGGTTCAAGTAGACTTAAAGCAGCTTTGTTAAGTTACATTACGAGTCAGCAGGAATCATTCTTCCTACTGCAATCTAAAAAAAAAATCCATTCTAGTGTAGGTGGTAGCAAGCACCAAGGACCTATTGTTAATAAACTAGATCACTTACTCTTACATTCGAGATGTAAATGAACATATCCAGGATTTGCATCACATTATACCAACATATACCATAGACACGAAGTTATGGCTGCGGATTAATTTGGCCTGATGTTTGGATAAAATTGAAGCAGAACTGCCATATTCCAATTTGTCAGTATGAAGTGTAGTATTTGTAGTTACTTGCTATTGAGAGAGGAGAATTCTTAGAAAGAACTGTTTATTGAATGTAAGTTGTTCTTGATATTAACAGGCTAATATCTAAAAGGTACAGTTTATGGTCTTGGAAATAAAATGATAATCAGCCCATATCCAAACTCTTTGAATAGAAAGAAAAGGATGTACTGGGGTTAGGGTGAGTCAACTCTGTTTATACAGGTTTTCACATGACTTTTCTTTTAAAAAGTATATGGAATGCATCCAAAACAAATACTGTTTTGTTAGATGAGAAGACCAAAAGGGAAATCCTAGAGAAAGGAGGATGGATGATCTTTCTTTAATGTCAAAACTGACAAAAACACATCCCCCCCTCTTTTGCTCAAGATAATTTTCTCAACAAGACCCAGATTGCTTCAGTCTTTGCCTATCACCCTTTGAAGCACTTTCCTTATTATTAGGAGTGGGGGCAGGGTTTCCTTTGAGGATTTTTACAGCAGTGAAGAGTTCCTCCTTTAAATACTTTCACATGATGAGGGAATTCCGCTTTCAAAGTGCTGTCATCACTGTGGCTTCTCTGCCATAAGACGATTTATTCTTGGGTGAAGGTCCTTCTTAGTTTGATTGTCAATAGGACTTACCTTTCTGATGGATTCTCTTTCTACAGAGCTTGCTTTTCTGAGAGATGCAGCAAATGGGCTCAGCATGCTCTTTTGTTCACCTTACTGATGAAGTTGACCAATGATTCTCTTTTGAAATATGTTCCATCATATACATTTATAGACTTCACTGTGGCTCTCTTTGTCAGTCTCCACCAATTAAGATGTGGGTGACATGTCCAACAGTCCTTCTTGAAAGCTATATTTCTTCTGCAGTGCAAAGGGACACTGTGCTTTTGTGATGTATAGTGTCTCTTCCAGTGTTTAGATAGCTCCATGGTAAATAACAAAAACTATTCAAGTGTCAACGGTGTTCCCAGAAACATTGAAGTCTTTTGAGAACCTGTACTCCATGTCACTCCAGATCACCCTGCTCAACTCTTAAATAGTCTTCTGGAAAATTCTATAAATATTTAATTCATGGAAGCAAAATGTATAGCTGTATGGTTTCATAGCTCATTTGAAAGCAGTTCTCTCCCCTCCCCAAAATCTTTAGTAGGCAGTGATTCACAATTATTAGAGAAGAATTAGAATGAAGAAACCCCAAGTAGAGCAGATAGTTTTCTCAATATTATTGCCTAAATGTGAGCTTTTAAGTCTTCCTAGCTGTTTTAGATAAATGAATAAAAATCTTAACTATATCCCAAACTAGATGACATCATTTACATCATTACTCTTGGATTTTCCCTTTAAACAGTTTGGTCTTTAGAAGGTGCAGGAATTGGCATTGTCTAGGGTACCCATTCACTATCCCCTTCCACCTAGCAGCTCTTAAGTGCAACTGTGTATGTATCAACTAATCCAGACTGGCGTAAACATGATTCTTAAAACCTACAACTTCCTTCCTGCTAGAGTGTTTAAACGATTGACCTCTCAGCCCTTCACTGAGGAAGAAAGTGGAACATAAGTAGAGCAGCTAGACTAAATTAGCTGTAGATTGAGACAGATTCTAGTTTTGGCTTTGCCACTTCCTGCCTGTTAAGGTTGGCAAATAACTATTCCTTCTGCTCCCCGACCCTCTCCCCGCACAACCCATGACAATTGTTATGTGTTTTTACCACCTTAAATAAATAATAAGGATATTTCACCTAGATAGAAAGACTTAATTATAGAAATTGAGCCAAATTGGATAGTCCAGTGAGAGATTAGAACTGTTATTCCTTAGTCTGGTTTTGGAAAGGAGTGTGACTATGTTGTCTCCTCCTATGGACTCTATGATGTACTATAAATATTCATTCCACTTTCTTCTATAAGCCAAGTTGAAAATCAGTTTAATAAACATCTCAGCTGTACCTCTGTGCTGTAGATCATGGGAAACTCTGAATATACTGAAGTCAATTACCTTCAAAATGCTCACCATCTAAGCAGGGAGAAAGCATGAAAACAAATCACAAATCTAGTGTGATGAGTAGAACAAGATAAGTACACGCAAAACGTAGGGGTAAACATGGGAAATACATATATATTTCTCTGGATCTATTTTAAATTCTAGAAATAGGAAAATGTGTGTGTGGGGGAGGGAGGTAGCTTTATGGTAAATTAAAAAAAACCTCCTGACTTTACCTGTTTACTGCTGAATCAAAAATGTCTCCTCATAATATTAGTTGCTATAAACTGTAATCAAACAAGTTAAGACATGGAAGGTTTTCCAAAAAAACCAGAATGTTTTCTTTCTTTTCATAGATAAATTATTTTTCAATGTCTTAAAACACTGGAATTCCCTGGTGGTTAAGACGGTTGAGTCTGCCTGCAATGCAGGAGGCCTGAGTTCGATCCCTGGGTCGGGAAGATCCCTTGGAGAAGAATATGGCTACCCGCTCCAGTATTCTTGCCTGGAAAATCCCATGGATGGAGGAGCCTGGCGGGTTACAGTCCATAGGGTTGCAAAGAGTTGGACACGACTTCACTTTCACTTTAAAACATCACCACTAAGTTTTTCCTTCGTATTGGTAGCCTGGCATGCTGCAGTCCATGGGGTCACAAAGAGTCAGACATGACTGAGCGACTGAACTGAACTAAACTGATTGGTACTTCTGTCATTAAACAAAGAAGAACACTGAAATGTGTCAAGTAGTCATTAAAAACCAAATAGTGTAGCCCAGAATATGTTGAGAGTCTCTCTGGAATTAAAAAATGGGGAGAAAGGAGTTTTCTTAAGGATACTGATGTTTCTTAGCATAATTAGGTTTGTGGATTATTATCCTATATCTACTAAGTTAAGGTTTTCTTGGTGATTTGTAGCAATCTTGAATTAAAATCAAGGAATTGGAAAGTGTTTAAACTCCGGGTGTTGAATCTAGCACTATGAAATCTGTACTGTTGCATGAGGGGAGTGCGGGGTGGGGAGCTTAGGGAAATTTAGTATAAAAACCTGGTCTGAGCTAATTTGTTTTGTTTGAAACTGGAAACCATATTGTTGAAATTTGCATTCTGTTTTCTTTCAGTAGGTATATTAATACAAAGTGCTCTGCTTTTAAAGGGCTTCCTCCTTTCTACAGGAAAAATTTAGCTTCTGAAAAAAGAATTGCACAAGCAATTCAGCAACATTGCACGTCTTTCATCGTTTTAGGATACAGACTTCAGCTCAGTAACTCCAGACATATTTTCTGGAAACATGTAAAAACAAGCCCATAAGTACTGAACGTAAAACCTGGGTACACCCATAAACATGTATACAATCTTAAGGTCTACTTACCACTGAGTTTTTTTTAAAGCTGTGTGCATATTTTAAAAATCACTAGAATCAATGAAAATTGTAACGAGATGCTGTCTGAGAGAAGGTGCTCCCTGGAGATCCCTGAGGAGTGTGCTCTGTAACTGTCTTATGGAGTGAGCCCGCCTCCTGCCCATCAGTGGATAGCACCTGTGCTTTTCAGACAGCTTCCTGTTGTTGTTCAGTCACTAAGTCATGTCTGACTCTTTTTGAACCCATGGACTGCAGGACGCCAGGCTTCCCTGTCCTTCACTATCCTCCTGGCATTTGCTGAAACTCATGTCCATTGAGTCGGTGATGCCATCCAAGCATCTCATCCTCTGTCACCCCCTTCTCCTACTTCCTTGGTATTTCCCAGGATTAGGGTCTTTTCGGATGAGTTAGCTCTTCGCATCAGGTAGCCAAAGGATTGGCTTCAAAGCTTCAGCTTCAGCATAAGTCCTTCCAATGATTATTCAGGGTTGATTTCCTTTAGGATTGACTGGTTCAATCTTCTTGCTGTCCAAGGAACTCGCAAGAGTCTTTTCCTGAGAAATTAGATGAAGATGGAAACAACAGAATTAAAAATATGTATATTTTAACTATCCAAGTGTTAGTCACTCAGTTGTGTCCGACTCTTTGCGACCCCATGGATTGTAGCCCACCAGGCTCTTCTGTTCATTAAATACTCCAGGCAAGAATACTGGAGTGGTTAAGCCATTCCCTTCTCCAGGGCATCTTCCTGACCCAGGGATCAAATCTAGGTCTCCTGGGTTGCAGGCAGATTCTTTACTATCTGAGTCACCAGAGAAGCCCTTAACTATCCAAACTAAATACTAAAAAAAGTATGGTTCCTAAAGAAGTATGGAATAGTTAAAGTTAACAGCCAGACCAATTGGATTGTGTTTTGGGGGAAAAAAAAAAATCACACTGTAAAACTCATAGTGCTTTCGAACTATGCCCGGTGACACTGAAGATAAGAACAAGAGGCGGAAATGGTAAAAGAGAGCTTTGTAAATTTGGGGATGTGCTCAAAACTACTGGGTGTTCTAAGAGTGTCTCATGAAACATAAATCTCAATGCAACTATAATCTGGATGTGAGGAAAAGGTTATTCTTTAAAAATAGTTGCATTTTTTGCAAAATACTTTAACCTTCGGTCTTCGGCCTTCCTTTCTTCAGGTTGAAAAAGTTAAGCATGATTCATATACTAAAGACTTCCTGTCTATGCTTAGTATTCCTTTTAGAGTTGCATTCTAACCCATGGTTGTATCTCTCTCTGTTTCCATTCTTGTGCGTGCTCTGCCCCAGGTTGGCCTTCATTCCACGACGTGATCAATTCTGATGCGGTCACATTCACAGATGACTTTTCCTATGGGATGCACAGGGTGGAGACCAGCTGCTCTCAGGTCAGTGAACCCCACCTAAAAACCCCAAATGTTGCTCATTCTGCTTTGCAGACACTTCCAAGACTCCTGGTTGTGCTAAATATAGTAACTAAGGCCAATTGACCCATCACAAAAGGGACAGACAAACACAATGAGGTCTCTGTCAAGTCCTAATGATATCTCAGTCTTGAGGAGTTTAGCAAGTCCTATTAAATGTCAGTCATTGGCTTCAACGCTAGTAAACAAAATCACTGGTAGGAAAAATTCTTCTCATTGACTCAATACAGTGGGGAGTTGAATGAAGATTTCATTACACGGCTTCACATGATGTGACGTTTCACGTGCGCACTCATTGTTCCATCATCATACCTCTAATAGTAATGATCCCAACATGGTCAACAAAGACCCTAAAAACGTCTCTCCTTGGATGGATGTGAGGAAGGAGGTTGGAGAACAGAAGAAAGAAGAGGAAGTTCAGTGGCAGGCTGTGCGAGGGCAGAGAGAGAACGTGCGAGAAAATAACTCCTTCTGTAGGTCTCCTAGAAATAGGCTTATCTTCATTTCCAAGGATGTCCCTTTCACTGTCCTCTGACTGAATCAGTGCTGGATCTAAGGGGGAAATGAACATATGTTGAGGAGGAGGCAAAAATATAGTTAATCTGTCATCCCAATCAAGAAACTTGAACTTAAACCCAGAGACCTGGCCAGAACCTTCTTGTACATAGAACTAGAGCAACTGCACATTCTAGTCCAGGGTAGGTCATCCTGCTCCACTTTCTTTAAAGAAGTGAACGTAAAGTCTGAGGGCTGTGGTGCTGAAACTCACCGATGCTAGAGTGCGTTGCTGGGGGCTGTCTCTTGTACAAATTAGAGGTGGAGGGGCGCCGTCAGGCAGTTGTAAGTGCAGAGGGATTGCCACATGAGCCTCCCTCAGCATTCTTCCACCTGCCCTTTAACCCTGTTCATCAGCCACAGGAGTTTTAGGGAGGAGGTGGCATATTTACTACCAAGTAGGGAGGAAGATTGGTTTGAACCTAACCATCTGATGAATTTCTATTTTATTTTATTTATTTTTAAGTAAAGCTGGCAAGTGAACTGTCTTCTAAGTATGAGAACCACTCTCTCCCTTGAAAAAGTAGGCTTTATATCTTATCTAAGTCACATTTTCCATTCACCCTCATTTCTCAGATCTGAGTCTAAGCCAGAAAGTGGTACTTTTTGATCCTGGGTCTCACCCTCAGAGATATCTAATTTAATTGGTCTGGGTGATGTCTGAACATCCATGTTCTTAAAAGCTCCCCAGGTAAATGCTCACAGTAACCTTCTGAGTAGATAATGTTATCCTGTCTCATCTTACAGTGGAGGAAACTGAGGTACAAGAAGTGCAGTTACACATGTATAAATATTCATAGATTGAACTGAGACTTGGATGTGGGCATTTAGCTCCAGAGCTTTTTATGGTGCTCAAATGGATAGGTAAGTAGATAGATAAAAGCACCATAAGAAGTCATGTTGAAATAAGAAAAAGGCAAAAAACAAATCCTATGATCCCCCAGCAGTTAGTTTAATTCAATTCAGTTCTGGATTCAATTGAATGTTTATTCTTCATATTTGCAAATTGCAAATATCTACCCAGGAATCTAAAATATTTGACAAAAAAGTGAGATAGGATGGTACATAGTCATTTATAACTTAGGTACATAGTACTTAGTAAACCTCCCTAAGGCTAATGGTTGTGGGGTATTTTTTTCCCCTTTATTTTTTTAAGCTGCCTTAAAGGCTGTTGTATGATTGCTCCTTTTCTTTTCACTCAGAACCTATTTTCAAACATTGAGTTCTATGAAAATCACATGAAAAGGGACAGAAAAAGTGGGGCATAAGATAGTAACTTTCCTTCAGGGCCTACTCTCTGAAGTCTTTGTGACTAATTCTTAAAATTCACAGTTGGAGTACACTTCCTCATTTCTCTGTGCCAGCCACTGAGGCGACATCAGTGGGAGTCAAGATAAGACTGTTAGGAAAGTGTCCTGCAGGGACCGAAGAGGAACGAAACCACAACTGTGCCCACATTAGGCAGCATTCATAACAGACACCACCCTAACCCGGGCACAGCTCTCAGCCCTCGATTGAAGGCCTAGTGACTGTCACTGTTCTTTGGGTACAGTTGGGTAAAGCACTAATACTCCTTTTCAGCCTCTTTTTCCACCACCTTTATTTCTCACATAAGAAAGTGCATCTTGCTGACGATGCACGATGTGTGTGTGGTCAGTCGTGTCTGACTCTTTACCACCCCATTGACAGTAGCCAGGCTCCTCTGCCCATGGGATTGTCCCAGGCAAGAATAACGGAGTGGGTTACTATTTCCTCCTCCTGGGGATCTTCCAGACCCAGGGGTCGAATCATGTTTCTTTTGCTTGCTGCATTGGCAAGTAGATTCTTAACCGCTAAGCCACCTGGAAAGCCCAGAGAGTGCTTGACCCTTTCTTAAATAAAAGTCTTAACTTTACAGAAAAGAGCAAGGGATATTCGTTCTGCTTCTTTCTTAAATGTAGAGAGAAATGGAGGGAAATTTGTTCGACTAATGCATGTGCAAAAGTGCATGCTTTGGGAAGTAAGTGCCACATAGAAAATAATCAGGTTCTAGCCCCAAAGAATATGTTTGCTGGAATCTTCCCCATGTGGACAGAGTGGGCCTGCCTGCCCCACTTCGGGCTAACAGCTCACTTAGCCAAAAGTGTGCATCTTGCCTTTCGGTTTCTTTGTCTCTTAATTTGTGCTTGACACAGAAATTTATTTTTCTTTGTTTTACATTTTCCTTTAGTTTTCTCTTTTCCATTTTCTCATTCATCCTTTTTATCTTGACATGGGGGGTGGGGGAACTGATTTAATGGTTTCCGTACTAGAGAAACCACCTGTATCTTGCTTCCTGGTTTCTCATCCTTAATACTGTTTATCACTATCAGTTTATCTTCTTTTACCTTTTAGTCTTTCAGTTTATGTAGTCTTCTACTTGCAACTTATCTTTTTTTTTTTTTAAACTTTTGGATGTTGACATGGTAACTTATCTAATTTGCTTCTCCTCTTAATAAAACTCTTGTGTTTTGAGTTTACATGGCTTGTCATTTCTCTGGACTGAATTACATCAAAGGAGTTTGTGCTATGACGAATCTGTTAGTTGTTTTCAGTATCTTAGAGACATTTTCAGTTGGACATGTTATGTGGAATGCTTCTTTCTTTACGGTAAAGATGGAGCATCTAAACAAGAAGACCCTTTTACTGCCAACTTAACACCAATAAACTGAGCTTCTGTGGATAAAACCAGTAGACTCAACTTGCCTGCAAGGCAATATGGTGATTTTTTTATGGTCTATGGCTCTCTAATTCTTGCTTTAGTACTTAGAATTCTTCTTCTTCCACTTCTCCTTTTCTCCCCCCCCCGCCCCCCTTCTCTTCCTTCCCTGTTCCGTCTTCATTGTTATATGAATCACACTATGCAGTTAGGCCTCCTATTTGGGTGCATGCCAGCATGTTAAGTCGCTTCAGGAGTGTCTGACTCTTGGCGACCCTATAGACTGTAGCCTACCAGGCCCCTCTGTCCAACCAAGAAAACTAGAGGGGGTTGCTGTGCCCTTCTCCAGGGGATTCTTCCTGACCCAGGGGTTGAACATGGGTCTCCTGAATTACAGGTAGATTCTTTACCATCTGAGCCAGCAGCAAAGCCCCATATTTGGGTAGAAATGACAAACACATTGGGAGCCATGCCTACCACCTCTTTATACTACATTGTAGCTTTTCCATGTGTCCAGTGACATCTTAGGTTGTAATATTTTAGTAAAATTTTTATTGAGAAAGTTAAGATTTATTCAGTGCTGTAATCACTTTCCAGAGAACTATTACAGTCAGGTCCTTCTGAAAGAATCTCTTGCTCCTTTAAGTTAACACAGAAAATAAGCAAGGGTAGTAGAGCTTCTTTACTTCAGGATTCCTGCTTCTGAAGGAGACTGGTTTTCCTTTATATGCTGATGCTCATTGCAGCTATACTTATTTTCTTTTACCATTCTGTCTACTAAGTTAAGGAGTTATACTCCACTTATCTCTTCCAAAGTGGAACTTTATCCTAAATCTGCCCACTTTGGAGTGGGCATAGGTAGGTATCTTCCCCCTGGCTGTAGCAATTTCCTAACAAATCTCAGTTATAAAGAATTTTCCTCAATTTTATATAACTTACATTTTTAGTTCGTGATAAATATGTTGCTTCTAATCCAGTTTCACTGATGACTATCAATTAATTGCTTGACAGCTTCTCCCTAATCCTCCAACCCCAGCCTATTAAGCAATGTTGTGAGGAATTTAAATTCAGTGGAAAGAGGTAAGATTTGCATGATATAAGCTGTAGTTCAGCAAGATAAGTCCCTCCTGGAAATACTTGGGGAATTCTTCCTTTTTTAGATCAAATTTCTACGTCTGCAGCAAATGGGAGACCAATAAATCACTGAACATTTTCTAATAATCTGGGAGGAAACCACCAGAACCCTGAGTTTACCCAAGCTGGACTCTGTTTATGACTGCAGCTATTACGGTTTGAATCTATGGTAGAGTCCTTTAGTTTGCTTTAGATCATTATTAATTTGTTCTAAGTCAGCCAGATCAACAGAAAGGTAAATATCCACCAACACAAAGTATTTCTCAAGAGTTGAGCAGTTTTGGGTAGAAACCCCAAACCTTATTAATCTTTTGCAGATGACAACTCATATATTGCTGATGATTAAAGATACCCATGTGTTACAATAGGGTTTCCGACTCACAGCCCCCTCTCTCTTTTTCTTGATCTTTCAGTAAAATCATAATGCTAAACTGGTGACTTCACAATCCTTTCCTTGGCAAAAGATTAATATCACAAGCACAGAGGAAAAGAGCCCTACTTACGCACAAGTGTCTTCAATAACAGTGGGAGAAAACAGGATACTACTGGCAAAGTCAATTGCTTTTCTTCTTAAAACTCTTTTCTCCTTCCCATCCTGCCCCATGCGCCCAAGTGTAAAAGCCTGGCTTTGAAACCGCTTCATCTTGTAGATCAAACACTTAAGAGAAAATGACAACAATAAAGCCTAAAACATCCTAGGAATAGCTGGGAGAAAACCCTCTAAGACAGTTGGAAATACATCAGTGCAGAAATATGTAACTGGGTTGAATGCACTATTTGTGTTTCTTATGCACACAATTGAGAATTGCAGTCATATTTTAAGGAATTATGTTAAATTTGATGCCCAGTCACTTTTTTTTGGATGTGGCGGGGTGGGGTGTGGGCGTCCTTTCCTTTTGTTTTCTGCAGGTTCTTTAGTTGCCAGTTTTTCTGAGTGAGAGGCTTAGGTGATAAAGGATGCCTGTGGGAATTTAAAATTTTTCTTTTGAACAATGCTTATCTCATGCTTCCTCAGAATGAGAGTTAGAATATCCTGTCATCGTTTGTATTTTACCTGTAAAAGAAAGAAATATACAACCACCTTAAAACAACTTTCAAAATGCACACCGAAGATTCTACCCTGAAATAAATCATTAACAGCAGGTTTCAGAGATTTCTTCATCGGGCAACCAGTTTGTTTCAGTCACAACCAGGTGTGCTAAGCGAGCCCAACACATTGCTAGTTGGCTGGGGCAGGGGAGGCAGAGCTCGCAGGCGGCTAAAGAAACAATGCGTCACTGACAACTTTCTTTCATCATCCCAGCCTTCCGCCAGGGGTAGAGGGTGGAAAGAATGGGCTCCATGTGCGTTCCCCTCAGGGAGGAGCCTTCAGGGTTTGTGCACTTTTAAAAGAAAGTGACTACTCGTCTTTTGGACAGCAAGGAGATCAAACCAGTCCATCCTAAAGGAAATCAGTCCTGAATATTCATTGGAAGGACTGATGCTGAAGCTGAAGCTCCAGTACTTTGGCCACCTGATGGGAAGATCCGACTCATCGGAAAAAACCCTGATGCCGGGAAAGATTAAAGGCAGAAGGAAAAGGGGATGACGGAGGATGAAGATGGTTGGATGACATCAACGGACATGAGTCTGAATAAGCTCCGGGAGTTGGTCATGGACAGGGAGGCCTGGTGTGCTGCAGTCCATGGGGTCACAAAGAGTCGGACACAACTGAGCAACTGAACTGAGCTGAACTGTTATGGGAGGCTGGGTGTTCCTGGGAGGAAGCAGAAATGGTACCGTGTGGTTAGGCTTCCTGCAGACAAATGGTCTTACAACTTTACAGGCAGCCAGATGGGCATGTACGTTGTGGTGGTGGTAGTTCAGTTACCAAGTCGTGTCCAACTCTTATGACCCCGTGGACTGTAGCCCGCCAGGCCCCTCTGTCTGTGGGATTTTCCCAGGCAAGGATACCGGAGTGGGTTGCCATGTCCTTCTCTAGGGGATCTTCCCTACCCTGGGATCGAACCCTGGTTTCCTGCATTGCAGGCAGAGTCTTTATAAACTCAGACACCAGGGAGGCTCGTGTATGTGGTGACGCAGATATAAATGAGCACCTTGCTCTTCCTGCCAGCTGCCTCAAGCCATAAAGAATCTGCCTGGAGTACAGGAGACCTGGGTTGGGAAGATCCCCTGGAGAAGGAAATGGTGACCCACTCCAGTATTCTTGCCTGGAGAATCCCGTGGACAGAGGAGCCTGCTGGGCTTCAGTCCAGGGGTGCCCAATAGTCAGACACGACTGAGTGACTAGCACTGTACTGTACCGCTCCTCCCTCACTTAATGCGAGCCTGGAGTGAATCTTCCAGAACATCTTGTGCAAGCATGATGAAGCAATCACTCTTGTTTTTAGGGGACCCACATCTTTTCTGAGGATTTCCCTACCCCATCCCATCGCCAACCCATACAGTTATTTGCGAATGATTTTTGTTGCCTTTTCCCAAATATAATTTCTCCTCATCTCCCTCCCATTTTCTCTTGCCTGGATTAGGGATGTCGAGAATCTGTGTTTTTCTTACTGTTTAACCAAAAAAACTAGTGTCAGATCTAGCAACTGAAACTGCAGGCTGATAACCAACTCAAGTCCAACAGATTAAATTACTCTAATTTGGATTTTAAAAAAATGATTTGGGGAATGAATGATCTGGGCACTAAATACTACAAAGTGGCGTTAAGTATACTGTTGCTATGCTTTATTTTTGAAGTAAGATAAAGAGAACCATTCGCTAAATATGCTTGAGATGATTAATAAAGGCGCTATCATGTATTTTTGCCCAGATAACTGTATTCTCTCATTAAAAAAAAAGAAAATCTATCTGAGGCTTTCATGTGAAAACTCCACCTCTCAGATGCCGAGTGATCAAAGTGCTGGAGCTGCACGTGAGATCAGTAATTGTGCACACATACTGGTCACCGAGAGCACCAGTTCCTGCTGGCCTGCACACTGACTGTTTTGGCAGGCAGAAATAGGTGCTTTCCTGTGTCCATTGGGTAAGCATATGTATTTTCACTGGTGCATCTTAGCTGCTGATGCCTGAAAATTTGGCCTCAATTGTTTATAGAAAGGAAAAGCAATCTGAGCTGTCAGCCTTGATATTACCTAAACCTGCATAAAATGTGGAAAAATAATGCAAGATTTGTTTTTTAGGCCTGTTTCATATTTTCCAGGCAATAGATCAAATCAGTTCAGGGTTCATTTTTAGTTCTTTAATAAGCTGACACAGTACGTTGGCAGTAAAATAAGAATGCACTTTTAACATGGAAGTGCCATGTAGTTGAAGTTGCTATTTGTGCTATTTATTAATAGTAGAGAGCCCTCGAGAATCGAGCTTAGCACTTTTAGTGGGGAAACTGAGATTCTAGCCCTTTCCATTGTAATAAGCACCGTCCTTCACTTCTCTGTCATCATCTCTGTTTGGTATGGAAGGACAGAAAACCCCATTCCCTTGTCAAGTCCTGCTTTATTTCCCTGCAGTTTATAAGGGTTTTATACACCAAATGAGCACAGTGAGAAGAAATAATAAATCATCTCTATGCCTCTTCTCTCATATTCTTCCCTAAATCTTGACTCCTCCATCTGCTTAAAATGTTCTCCCCTGGATATCTGCGCCTTCACTTCCTCCCGGTTCTTACCCCAGAGTTACCCTGGGAGAACCACCCTTGCCCACTTCACCTAAATTGTCAGCTGCCAGTCCGACACTCTGTATCACTTTCTCTCTGTCTTGGTTTTTGTGGGCTTGTTTTTGTTTTGTTTTTGCTCCTTGGTGTTTATTTCCAGCGACTATGCTCACAGTTCCTTATTACCTTCGTGTTTTCGGTCTCTACCAGTGGAATGTAAGCTCCATGAGGCCACTGCCTGTACCTCTGGAGTTTGGGACAGTACCTGGCATAAAGTGGGTGCTCCATACATATTTGTGGAATGAATAAATAGGGGTCATTTGCCCCAGGCTTTGATCTCTGTTACATGACAAACTAAAGGATGTGTTTTCGTAGCCTGTTTGAATGTGGTGCGCTCATGTCCTGGCGGGCTGCCGCCTATGGGGTCGCAGAGTCGGACGCGACTGAAGCGACTTAGCAGCAGTAGCAGCGATGTCTCCATACACGCTATCCTGTCCCTGCTGAGAAGGGTGGGCGGTAGTGAGTGTGACCTGTGCGCTGGTCTCCTGGAGCTGCACTCAGCAGCAGACTGCTGAGCCAGCCTGTCTGGGGACACTTTCTCTGGGCTGGATTTCTCCTAGACACCATCGTAACCACCATCCCTCCTTCTGCCTCTGCCGGGACTCTCTGCCTCTTCTTCCCCAGCTTTTTGGATAGTCAGTAGCATGGACTGAGCTCGACAGCTTGTTCCTCCTCCACATGATCCAGTTTGCGCAGGAAAGCAACCCTCCTGGTACCCACCTCTCCGAGGCCAGAAAAAAGGACTGCGTGGACTAGTGACATTTCCATTGGCCACGCTGCAGTCCTGGTGACCGTAACATAAATCTGTTGCACCCTGCCATTGCTTTCCTGGGTTCCAAGAACATCCAGTGCTTTTCTGATGTTGAGTTTTACTGCCCATGAAAACAAACACCATCTCCCTCAGGGCCAGTTACACAGGATCTTTCACAGTGGACTTCTGCATATCTGAAACCCACCCATCCAAAGCTAAAAGCAATGCCGGGGCGGGGGTGGGGGGGTGAGAGGGGATGGAGATTTTATTCTGCCATGTTTCTTACAAGGGGAGATCAAGGGTCAATTCAATTCATAAAATTACCGCAGTCATTTTTCAGCTGGCTGAGAGGCTTCACAGATCAAAAAATACAGTGGCTCCTCAATGATTTCTGATATGCACAATTCTAGTGTTTTTTATTCTCAGCATGTGGTGCAAAGCCTGCCAGAAACCATCTTTGTAGCTATTGACAGGCAGATTAGAAATCATCCACGATGGTTTCCATCATTTCTCTCCAGGCCGGTCATCCATTTAAGCCGCTGACTGTGAGCGCCCCTCAAAGCCTGCTTTGTACACGCTGTTGACCTACAGTTTGTTCTTCTGTTGCAGTGCGGCGCTCACCTCGGGCACATTTTCGACGACGGACCTCGTCCAACCGGCAAAAGATACTGCATAAACTCGGCATCCTTGTCTTTCACCCCTGCAGAGAGCAGTGGCGCCCAGGGGGTCAGCGCGGGGGGCAGCCCAGCCCCCGGTGACAAGATGGAGCTGTAGAGAAGCGGCCGGAGGCGGCGACAGAAGAAACAAGTGTACTTAATGCACAGCTTATTAAAGCGAATCCCATAGCGTTTATCTCAGATCTATTTTTTCAAAACTAGAAGGGCAGTTTTATGCTATTGGTATTTTTCTTCTTGCTTAAACAGAGGCCCTGGCCATCCATGCATTTTGCTGTTGACTAGATGGGGAACCGCAGATCTTGAGTGAACTCAGAGATAGCTTCGTGAAACTTCTTTACAAGCCACTTACGTAGCATTTGGCATTATTTTCTTTGCCCACATAGCTTCCTTTGCTTTCTTTTATTCCTCCCACCCACGCCCCCCCCCGCCCCCGACTTGCTTAAGAGGCAGAAGGTGCTTGGTCTTCAGACAAGAAAATCAAGGTCTGCTCTGCAAAGCGGAGACCAGGGCTGGATGGTGGGGATGTTGAGACCTGCAAGACACAGGGCCTGGAGGCATTTGTGCAGATCCACCTAAGATAAGGATGGAGTGATGTCTTCTGAGACTTCTCAGCTTTGTGGAAAGTTTGAGCTAAGGTGGTTTATTCTCACTAAAAGGGTGTGAAGGTCTAAAGTCTTTCCTTATGTTAAATTGTTGCCAGATCTGAGGGGGCGCCCTGAGTGTTGTGGCAGAGAAGTAAACATTACCTCATGGTTAGGCCTTTATTTTTATTTTTTCCTTGAAAACATCAGACTGTAAGATAACTGTAAAATGTTGAACCCCATTTTGTCCAAAGTTCACAAAAGAAGAATGCCTGCCATTGCCTTTTGTAAGTCTGTCTCTCCACACCTAATACCAGCTGCAGCTGGAAGGGCATTTTGGTGACTTCCCCATGTAAAATAAAATATTGGGAACAACACACTTCATTAAGGCAACAGAATAAGAGAGAAAGCAGAGAAGGCTGAAGAGGAAGCCTGGGGGTTAGATGTCCAGAGCCCTGCAGAAGAGCTGACCACAAGTCCTCAGCAGAGCCCGGGGTGGGGTGGGGGGACCTTGTACACTGGGCCAGGTGACCTCCTAGAGGATGTTGGGGCTTAAAATAGAAACAGCCAGGAGCTCACGTCCCACCCTTGACACTAATCTGCTCTGGGACAAGGGACAAGCTGTTTGTTCAGCCTCGGCATGCCTATTCTTTATGTATAAATGCGGACTTAGAATATCTGTAAAGTAATTGACACTCTCAGGGGAAAATTACTGTATTGTTGTACAATTAAGATCAGTGTTGTAGAATTAAACTGATCTGGTTCTAATTGCCGCAAAGGCCGAAGCCCAGGCATTTGAAATGGAAAGAAGCAGAGAGGGGGTTGACTTAGCTGATTGGTATGGAAACAGTTGGGCCAAGAGCCAGAAATTTTTCTTTGTAGCAAGATGGCTGGTTTTACTCTGAGAAGCTTGGCTCGGCTCAGTGGCTGTATAACATTTAGTCTGGTGGGATGGATGTCATTGAGCACAGTGAGGTTTTTATGGCCCTGAGCAATGGGGATATGCGTTGGTATTGCCGCCAGGTGTGAAGATACAGTGTATGACTGATATATATTGTGTTTGTAGCCTTGAGTGCTAAGCCTTGAGTTCCAAAGTGTAGCTTTTAAAAAAATAATGTTCTGTAAATTTTTTGAAAGCTTATGAAAGCTGACATCTTTCCTTATCAGCCCCAAGACCAAAAATAAGGAAGAGAAACACGTGACAATCTTAAAGAAATAATGAGCAACTAAAACGAAAAGTTGTGGTCAATCCAAGTGTCAGGGCGGTCATGGCCACATCCTTCTGTGTCTCTCCACACACCGCCTGGTGAGGCCCTGACCTCCGGGTGACCTTCACTGGCACGTGGGCCGCACCTTTGCCATTCCGGGTTCATTGTGCTCTTCCTCCCTTGGCTCCCGGACGTGGCACCTCAGGTCCTGGGGTCGCTCTGGAGTTCACAGGTTTCACTCCCCTGAGACATTGAATTTAAAACCCGTGAAGCCTCAGCGTCCAGACTATCCTAGAAGTCTTTTCTGACCTCACAGAAGGAGTCCCAGCATTTCCCAGCAACCCAAGGATCCCTAAATAAACAGGCCTCCCAGGATATGTCCTTCCCTCGTGTGGTCCATCCTTCGGACGCTCACACACCACTTCTTGAATGGCTCCTGCCTCACGTGGTGGCCTGCCCTGGGGTCTGCCGGACACAAGCCCCAGGGCTGGGGTAGACAAGGAAGATAAACGAGGGGCTTCTCCCTCTCCACAGAGACTCTGGATTTTCATTGCTCCTCCAGTTTTATTGTCGGGCTTAAGATTTCCCTCAAAAAGCTCGTCTTCTAAAGCTTGGTCTTTGTTTCAAGAAAAGCCAGTTTTCTTCTACCACATTTTCCAGCATCAACTTTAAGAAAAATGCAAACTCCATCGTGAAAAGAAAGTGGGGTGTATGCATGTGGTTTAATTTCAGGTTGCTTTTGAGTTTAAGTGGTATCGAATTTCAGTATATTTCTGTCTTATGTTAAAGAAATATATTACTAAAATGTAAGTGAGCAATAATGTCAGCTGTCGAGCACTAGATTTATTTTTGCAGGATATGGAGTGCAATGAACTGAGTCAATATGGTGAGGTGTATGTGATCTGTGGGAGTTATACCATTTAACATAGGAAATGCAGGGGACTTTCCCTCCCTGCACTCAGGCCCTCCCTATAACATTAGGAGACGCAGGTTTCTTTGCCGATGTGTAAAAATGTTATGTCCGTACACTTAGGTAGAATGGATCTGAAGAAGGCAACAATTCATATTGTACTAGGGGACGTTTCTATGTGTTCAAACTTTTCACTTTATAGATAAATTTAAACTCAATGCAAATGACATAGCAACTTGAAAGTCTCCATGTTCATTGAATTGAACATGCCTTGCTTTAAAATATGGAGTATGATGAAAGGGATTAGCGTTTTTACTGAAAGTCAAATACTACTTTTGCCTTAGATAGCTTTGTAATAATATTTCTCTAAGCAATTCAAAACTTTTGAAAAATGACATAAAATTTTCATTAAAGACCATTTTCCTATGTTTATTGTATATGGAAATTATTCAATAAAATTTCTTTATAAAAATGTTTTCGTCTCTCTCCGATTCCTAAAGACTTCTCTTCTTTTTATCACAGATGCATAGACCATCCATTGGAGCTTGCCGCAGGCTGTTCTGTTTACCTCTTTACCCAGCTGATGTGTCTCTTTGTAGAGAGGGCCTTTATCTGGTGTGACCTTCATAAGCGGGACTCTGAGAGTAGGGTCTAGGCCACTCTCCAGACCTCAGGCCCCAAGAGAGGCCTCCTGGGATCCGAAAGGTTGGAGAGAATGGAAATATTTACAGGATTATTCTGCCTTCACCTCACCTCTGCAGAATCTTCAGCAGCTTGTATGTATTTTTGTGCTTAAGACATGGACTCTGGCAAGTTGCATCATGATAACTCTATAGCTGAAAATGCAGGAATGATACCATGTCGATGCCTGGGCTGCTGTTGAAGAAATTGACAGGAGACTTACCCTGTCGTCAAGGACTGGTTTCCAGGGAGATGTGTTAGGGGTATTTCCCCACTGCTCACAGATGACTCGCCTTTAAATCTCTCTTAACAGAAGAGTTTTAATATAGTAGTATTTGTTATTAAAATTTTTTAGTTTAATGTTTTGGTTCATTGTGTTGGTTTGTTCATTTGGAGAGGAGAATTGAGGTGAAGAGGATTTTTGTTTTTCAGCCAATTCTTTAAGAGTCATACTCCTGGGATCCTAAACTTCACAGGCCAGCAATTTTATGTAGTGTACCTGAGAACAGCACTTCTCAGAGTGTGTACCCAGATGACAGCATCAGCATCACCTGGGAACTTGCTGCAAATTTGAGTTTTCAGGCCTTCTCCCATGCTCACTGCATTAGAAATTCTGGGGTAGGGCCTTTTAGCAGCTGTCCTTGTTATTCTGGAGTTTGTTCAAGTTTGAGAACCACTGCCTTGGAACTTCCCATGAAAAAATATCATTTAGCATTAATTCTAAAGGCATTTCTATCTGACCCTCCAAAATGGCTTATTTTGTCATCACTGGTTATCTCTCTGTAGAAGTGGGTCAAACGGTTTCCCCAAAATTCATGTCTTTCTGCTATTCCTATTCATCACTCGTTTGTCTTGTTCTGGAAGACTAACTGGTTCTCATCAATCAGCACCACCTTAGCTCTTGTTCACACATCTGAGTTAACCCTAGGTTGCCCAGTGGCGCTTGCCACTACCTCTTTAGAACATGGCAGGGTTCATCTCAGCAGTTCCAAGAACTAGAGGACAGATGTCACTGCATAAATTTACATAATGACCATTCCCATTTCTTTCATCATCACTTTTTTAATCCATTAGAGGAGATTTTTACAAAAGGGCCATATGCCCAAATCGTGACTTGTTTTTATCAGAAATCTGCTGCTGTTACCCAATGAAATGACTTCTTGAAGATGCTGGTATTAAAAAAAAAAAATCTTGGGACAGGCTTACAAGCATCCTGTAATGACTTCTTACCAGTGTTTATTGTTTATTACATAACTGATAGAAATTTAACCATTTTAATGTGAGACCTGAAGAAATGCCATAAAAGAAAAGTCTGGAAAGAACTCTTCCTATCCAGTATCTCCCAGAGGCTAGCCTTGTCCTGGACCAACCTGGAAAGGGATTGGCCAAAGGTAATTATAGGTTCTAAACCAACCTACTCTATAATTCATCATGCAAGTAAGGGGCTTTTATGGAACCATGATAGGATAAGGAGATTGGAGATTTAGGAACCAAATCAGATCCTCAGGCCTACCTGAGACTTACCCTAATGTTTAGATTGGTTATGGAATCACACCCTTGTCAAATTCTGGATGCTAGAGAACCTCATTTTTATTTCAAGGTTTGCAATTCCCCTCCCTCCAGGGTCACCACCACCACCATTCCCAGCAAACACACATTCACCCTAATCATCCAGGCTTGTTAGGAACCAGACAGATTTTCAGAAGTGAGTAACAGG